CTGAACCGTGACGGTGACCTGATTATTGAGTTGTCGTTTGTTGAAGATGTCAAGGGTGGGCTACAGAGTGCTGCAGCGCTCTCAGCGCCAACCTGGTACAATGTAGTTCTTACAAGTGGGTGAGTTTATCCTTATAGTTCTTGGAAGTGGCTGATTACCATGGTGTCCAGGGTCTAAGCTGGCAACCTTGCTGTGCTAAGGAACCACCGTCCCTGCGTGGAACTTCAGTGACTGCTGGAGCTTCTCATGATCCTAGAGACAGACATCAAGAAACAATGATAGGCTTGGGGCCGTAGCCTGTTCCTAGACTTCTGGTGTAACCGTTGCAGTGAATGGAATAATGAAACCCAGTTCACAAATTATTTTCTTTTGTTCTTCTGTCTTTTTAGGAACACTTTATAAATTTGATCTGGAAAAGAAAAGTTGATGATTGACAAAATAATTATCCTCCTTTGAAGCCTCAAACATATGCCTAGTAGTATTTTGTTGTTTAATCTGTACTTAATTTTTGTTGATCACATTAAAAATAAAAAACAGTGTATTGGATGGATTGGACAATCAAAATTCTAATTTATGTGAAAGTTTTTAACCTTGGATACTCTTTTTATGCATGATACTTTCCCATAAGTAGCCTAAACCTATTTCTTTTATAGCATTTCTGTAGCTCCTCACTATTTTTAATATATCTCTGTTATATCTAAAGAGATTTCAAATGTCTATAAAATTCGTTATTCTATATGGATAACTTATGTAATTATCACAGTAAATTATGCAGGCTTCTATGCAAGTATATAGTAGTTCTTATTTGAAGAATTCCTGTTGTTGCTTTTGGTTTATAATTTCAGTGTCATCTTAACATAATTTCCATAGTGTGCACTGAAGCAATCTTACCCATATCTGTAATTGTCCGTATGCTTTAAGAATAAAATGAAACATTTAAATTAAAATTAAACATTTCAGTATCTCTAAAGCAGAGTTACTTATCCTGCTTTTATTTATTGATGTTCAGAAGTAGGATTTTGGTTTAGACTCTAACTTTTTAATGAACATTACTAATGTGTTATTTTATGCTAACCATGGGTGATGAAGTGATTGATTTCCTGTTCTCTGGGATAGCAGACAGCTCTCTTTTCTTAACTGTCTAGGACCTGCCATTGAGCTTGAAAAAGTAAAACCAGAAACAATTGAGCCTGAACCTGAGGTACAGAAGACCTTCAGTGAGGAAGCAAATACATCAACGTACTATCCTGCCCCCGTTCCAGTAATGGACAAGTATATTCTCGAGAATGGAAAGGTATTTTAAATTAAATATAGCATGAATAATTTGTAAATGTCATCAGATGGTTTTCTTGTGGATTTTTCAAGATCTCAGGAGTTTTGCATAGTAGCAGCTTATACAAAATTCCTCAGTTTTCATAAAGGTATGCTATTATGCTGAGGAAAATTATGAAATTACGCAAATATGAACAGCATAGAAGATTGTCCTCAGTAATGAGAACATTGAATGCTGTGCAACACAAGGAGTATGATTATTTAATATGCATGCACAAGCAATTTGGCATAGTCTTCAATTGGTGATGTACATAAATCCACTAGATACAGAACAAAGTCAGTAACCCACATTATAAAGTTACATTAGTATATTTAACAGAAATACATTTTCCTAAAGGATCTTTGATGTGTTTAAGGTGCTGTAGTCATATAAAATCTGGTGAAACACCATCTAGCTACAGTTTGCCAGAACCTGACTGGTAGTTTTTTGGACTTCAGCATGCTTAACACATCCTCCACTCATCTACCGAGGCCTGCTTTTATAGCTGTTGCCATTATCATTGAATGAACATTCTATTTCTTTTACAAAACTTTATGTCCTTCAGAATTGCCTATGCAGAACCTGTTTCTTAGGGTATATATGCATTTGGTGCCATAATCTGAGAACCTTTAAGGAGGAAACGTCCATTTCAGCTTTGGCATACAGTGGAATTACTGATGGAATAGCATGAAATATTACATTTACAGATTTGTGTTGCAAGATTGACTGCACGAGTGTCTGTCATTCTTGAAGATGAATTTGACATAATTGTTGAGGACAAAATGTATGTGAAAAATAGTATAATCTTGGCAGTTTGACAGGTATTTGGTTCAGATAGCTTTTCTTGCCTAATATATTTAACATATGTCATTTGCTTGTATATTTTGTGTATATTTGTGCAATGAAAACTTAGCATATATTACTGTGAGAGTTTGGTTTACCTCCTTTTTTTCTGCTTAAGGTCTGTGGGATAGGGAAAGTCCTTTAGTATTTGTATGCGGCTTTTCCTGCACCTTTTTTTCATCTTCCAGCTTCTTGGCATTTCTGTTGCTGAAGTTTTCTCTGTCTTTACAGATATTATTATCTCTTTAACCTTCTTTTTGTAATTTTGGTCTCTCTTTAAGTTTTCCTATTTATTTGGGCTTCAGCCAGCTCAGATACCAGAAATGTGAACTAATAACATATTTAGAGTGTTGGAGGGTGTTTTTTCCAGTTTTCCTTATTTATGCCTTTTTTTCATTAATGCTTTATTGATGTGCACCACTAGAGTAGTTGAAATACTTTTTTTTTTTAGAAATCTTGCCCTTTGTGACATCGGATTTGATCTTAGTAGAATTCTTTCAAAGCAGATAAATCTCTCCCCTCCAGAGGGAGAACAGAATTACTGAGAAAAGAGCCTATGGCATTCATTTAAAGAAAAGAAAAGATGAAGAAAAAAAAAAAAAAGAGTTCATCTTCTGAGATGCATTTTAGGTGTATTGCACATGTTAGCACAGTTACGGTGGTGAGCATTGCTTTGAATTTGCTGTTGTTTCTGTTGCATTGTGCTTGAAGGTTGATCCTGCAGGTGCTGAAATTGGGGGTAAAGTTCCCATTGATTTCATCAAGCCAAAGGTCTGTCCCTTGGGGCAGCTCTTCCAGCAAGAAGGAAATGGCTTTTGAATCTGGAGTACAGGAAGCTTCCCGTAGCCTTGGGAGTAATAGGGAACAGTACTGAGCCTGTTTTACAGAGAGGTAAACTGAGACACAGACAGATTAAATTCCTTGCCGTAACAGTGCTAGAAATAGAAAAAGAGAGACATAAGATTTCTGTGGCTGTGGCTGTCTGTCACGTAGTTGCTGTTACCATAGGTGTTTCATACCAATGATAAGTTTTTTTAATAAATGAACCACATTCTCAGAGATTATCTGTCTGAAACATAAATATTAAAAATATTTGCTGTAACTTATTGTTTTCTTTTTAATACCATAGAGCTAATGAATAATGTAGTAGCCTAAGAGACTAAACAATCTTTAACAAAGACAAACTCTAATTTTGGCAGAGGGGAATCAGATTTTTGATCAAATACAGACATTTAAAATTTGGCATGTCACAACATTCCTAATCTTAAGTTATTTACTAAGTAACTTATACTAATTTGTACAGACAACTTTTCCAAGATCAAAACAGAAATAAATGAATTATAACTATAACTTGATTGTTTTCTGAGCACAGACTGCTCACTCTGATTGAACTTGTCTTACGAAATACGTAGAGAGCACCAAAAGAGTTTGAATTTTTTTAAAGCCATTATGAAGAAGCTTGACAACAGAGAAGGAAGGAAAAAAAAAAAAAAGGGGGTGTTCATGTTGTACTTATTACAAGTTCCATTTCTGTCCATTATGAAATCTAAATACCGTGTGGACTTGTGAAAAGCTTCTTAAAATCCCTTTAGGGTACAAAATTCTGCAGGAGAGGCAGCTTACTTTATGGTTTTATACTTTGAGGAAGTTAGACTTTTCATTTGTTTTTTAGAAGGTAGCTGGTAGCCAAATCATTCATATTTTTCTATTTAAGTTTTTAAATAACTAGATGCTTTTGAAAGGTGCTGTTGTAATAAAAAAAATTATTTGGGTTACAGCCCATGTTAATAATTAAAGCAGGTTTCCATTTAAAGGAAAGATGTTTTTTGGTTGAATACAGGCAGTAAAATTGTGGGTATAGAAAAATTTACAGTAGCTTTGTCACATTTTTCATTGTATTTAATGAGATATATGTGATATTGTTCAGATCTGTATGGGTAGCAGGCACAGTTTATGTAATGACACATGGAAGGAGTGAAAACACGGAAAACTAAGAGCAAACAAAATCTCCTAATTTTGTTCGTAGGATTTTTTTTTTAATCATGAGGAGGCAGTAAGTTTTTAGTGAAGTGTTAGTGTTACAGAAAGAACCTCCATTTGATCAGATTTTATGAAACCTAAATTTTGGATATAACAAGCCAATTGTTATCTATTTTTGGTATTTTGCACTTTTACAGAATTATCTGAAAGTAAGTTCTATCTTCCTCCTTTCCAGTGCAGTGAACTTTTATCAATAATTAGAATAGGCAGGTCACACATTAGCTTGTTCTGGATGATGAGTAAGTGTGGGTCCATCCAAATGAAGTTCGTCCTCACACGGACAAAGCTTTCTGTGTGCAGAGGCAGTTCAGGTGTCTGCACTGCACTCCAGGAATCAGGAGCATAGACATACAGAGTACAAAGTGTTCTCCATGGTTCTACACAGGGCCAGTATCCGCGTCCTGGTTGCACTCATGTCAGACCTGTGCTAATTACTAATGGAGTTACTTTTCTTGCTGTTGCTTGACGGTGTCCTGGTTATCAGGACTATCAGCTCAAACATCCATAGCGCCAGCTTAAGGATGGTACTCGTTCTTGTCCTGCATTCATCTGAAGTCTGGAGCACTGGGAGGCTTGGGGTAGAGGTATGGGGTAGCTCTGTGGGAATCAACCCAGCATAGTCAATCCTGTGCAAGACTAATAAACACAACTAGACTCAGGCAGCTTCCTTTTGAAGACTACAGTGGCTTCATGCTGCATTTCCCAGTACCTGTATTATCCTGCTTTACTACTTCAATGAAATATCTCTGTTCCCATTCTCTGCATAATGGAAAGTTTATGATCTTGCAGCAATGGGTCATTGCCTTACCCAGTACAAAACAGTATTCCCCAGTATAGATCAATTGTACAGGATAGGCAAACTTCATGATAGAGTTGGAAGTTTAGGAAACTTCCAAACTCTTGGCTTATGTTGAAACTGTAGCTCTCAAAATCTCTTCTACCCTTCTAGTTACTTTAAACAGTCAGTCTGAATTTTGACAACAGGTACAGGGTACAACTTAGGAAGTATTTCCCTCTCTACTGCCTCCGAAATACGATTTTGGTAAAGTCTGTTTCAGCCAAAGGGAAGCTTTCACACTGAAGACAATGTTTCATCTTACTCCCGAGTTAGGCTGGTGCAACTGCTTGGTTTATATGCTGTACATACCTTTATAATACTGGATTTGTTTACTATTTCCTTCTATCTCTATTTATTCCTGACCTTAGTCTTTCAGGTGGTAGGCTATCTGGGGGTGAAAAAGTAGAGAGTAAGAAGAATTGAGAACAAAAAGAGGAACTATATTATGTAAGAGGTTGACTTGAACTCCCTGACCCACAAAGTTGGAGAAGTTTCAGAATTAGGCAAAATGGATTTTTTTCAGCCCTAATTACTGTTATTATAGTACCTAATATTAATGTTCCTACAGCACTTGGATACTGTTGTGTGCTACATACCATAGATAAGCTGTTATTATTACTACCTTCTAGGTCCATCTTGGCAGTGGAATTTGGGTAGATGAGGAGAAATGGCACCAGCTGCAAGTAACACAAGGAGATTCAAAGTATACAAAAAATCTAGCGGTTATGATTTGGGGAACAGATGTTCTCAAGAACAGAAGTGTCACAGGAGTTGCAACCAAAAAAAAGAAAGATGCCGTTCCCAAGCCACCTCTCTCACCTCACAAATTAAGCATTGTCAGAGGTAGGTTATTTGAAAACTTTTGCTTCCTGCTTTGGAGTTTAACTATTAATCATTGAGTTGAAAGATGCTTCTTTTCAGCTCATATAAAATTAACTGATTAAAAGCTGTAATTCAAATTGCTATTGCATTGTGAAATGCATACATATTCAGGAAAAGTAAAACACATTGCAATAGCTGTGCACAGTGCAGGCCTTCACAGCTGGAGAGTTATACTTCAGTAGGGTTCAAGAAGATCATCACTTTGAACCACTTGCAGAACAGGACTCTGAGCCTGGAGAACAACACGTTGTTCTGGAATTCATTCATAACACAGCGATTTTTTAAAATGCATATATGACTTTTAACAAGCCTGAGAGTAGCTTTACCATATAATTTCATCCAGAACGTAACCAGCTCTGGCATGAGGCACAGAAACCAGTATAGCTGTGACTATAAAAATAGGCATACCTTGAAAGGCAAGAAAGAATAGTGTTACCCTTTTAAGTGGAGAAAATGGAAATAGTAAAAATTAATTGTTGCACTTCAATTGGAATTTGATCAGGAAGTATAAATCGCTGACCTATCTGGCAGGAAAAATTGCAGTGACACTTTAAGTAACTGCAAGCCTGAGTCCAAGTATGTAGTACTTTGAGAGAGAGAAGGCCTTATCCTTTCTTTAAAATTAATAGTGAATTTCAGTCCCTTTGTATCATCATACTTGTGTTTCACTTTCATTTCTGTCCCTCTTGGTATTTGAGGCTTCTTTTTAAGTCAGAATTGAGTCAGTTCCTCATGGAATATATACTGAAATTGGATTTTGAGGTTTTGTGTCCATATTCAGTTGCAGTAGGGCTGAAAGAAATCTCTGTATTTGATTTAGCTTCATTATTCTGCATTTCCTGTTCTTAGTTGCTATGTGCTCTTAACTATAAACTCTTTAAGAGCTGTTGTAATCTGCCTTGCAAGTACCATGTTTTGGAAGCAAGAAATATGATTCCTGTTTGAGTGTGTGCGTGTGTCCGTGTTGTGTGGGGAAAAGTTGGAAACCGATCTCCATACTGTCATCTTTCTTAGTTTATAAGAAATGAGTAAAAGATTTGAGGTTTTTTTACTAATCTGCTTTAAGAATGTATGTGGAAGTGCAAACCGTTCCATACTGATTTTCTAGTTCTGGCTGGGACCTTTTGGAGCAATCCTAACACATGTAGTAACATAATGATGTACTGGCCGCGTAAGGAATCCACTCTGTGGCTGTGGCCACCCTTGTCAGCTCCTAGTGGGAAACAAAATTGATTACCCAGATGCACCCTTACAAACACACAATAAAATGGGGTTATTTTTCACTAGCCCATTGCAAAGAGCTTTCTAGTTTCCCTGCTGGAGGCTGTTTCTTCTCAGCACTGCTGGCAAGGTTGCTTATGTGAGAATTTCCTCTTCTACTTCAATCAGGGTCAGTCTGTGTTGCTTGAGCCATTTCTTGTAAATCACCTTGTTTTGACTACAGTGAGTTTGGGAGTATGCTCTAACAGGTACATGGTGAGCGGCAGATGATACCCTTCCCTTTCTTCTCTTCCTTACCTTTACACTTTCCAGCAATTTAGCTCTTCTCTATTTCCTTGTTTTTCTATGTTTTCTGGCATACTTTTGCTTCCAGCTTCAACCCTTGTTTGAATTCTACTGTTCTGCACCTTGTTTTTCCATGTTCCTCTTTCCAGAGTTTATTTCACCTTGTCTTTGACTGCCTTTTTGTTAGACTGTACAATCTCCTCTTGTACCATTTAAACTGCATGGCCAGTGTTTTAGGTGGCAGCAGACAACCTTCCTGTATCAGCACTACTGGGTAGCACATAACCATGATTTTCAGTGTTGTTGTCTCCTTTACATTTGCATCAATGTTAGCAGGTCTTGCCCCATCATACCAGCAGTGTTTCCTGGAAAGCTGGAAGTGATCAAATAAGAAGTTATTATGTTATGGAGAAATGGAGAAGAAAACAAAACAAATCAAATGAGTAGCAAGTGGACAGATGGTGAAATGTGAGAAAGTTGGAATTTACGTGGCCAACGACTTTGATCAGGCATCACAGATAGAAATAAAGCTCCTTGTTAGTGGTCTACTTGAATTTTTGGTCCACTCAGAAATATGAAGGGGTATCTGTATGCTCCTCTAAAGCTGAAAGAAAAAGAAGCAGAAACCCCAAATCACTCTTTGGAGCCCCTAAGCTAGCATCCTTATGTCACTATTGAATTACTATTTCTGCAGCCCCCCATAGAAATGGAAAAGATGGAAGAGGGAAAACTGATGATCAAGGATCTGTCTGGGTCACACTGACTTTAAGAATCACAGGTGATGAATGAGTTCTGTCAAGTGATTCTTTGCTTGGCATTGTGGTTAAACTAATAACATGTATTTTACTGGAAGTTCAGCTCACCAGGTGTATCTGCTGCAACCTGGGAGTATTCCTGAGATTGTTGTAGTACAAGTTGATGTCCTACAGACATGCTGGGTTTCTTCAGGCTTTCAATGACATGCCTCTTCTTAGGTGTTGTATTTCAAATCATAGTTCACTGATGGTCAGCATTTCAGCTATTAGGCTGCCTTCTGATTAATTTTATTTATTTTATATTCAGTACCTTTTACAACATAAAATTCAGATTTTTTTAGATATTCTCATTATTCTGTGGACACAAGCTAACTTATTTAAAATAGATTTTTGAGCGACAGCATTAGCTCTTAATGTGTCTGATATCACTAGCTTCTTAAAAATCCCTACTGTGTAGTATGTAATAAAGAAATTATAAAACGTATGATGCATGAGCACTGTTACAAACTTTGTTATTGCAAATTAACCTTTTATAAAACTTCTGAGAGGTTTCAAAATTAACCACAAAGCATGCATAGTACTTAATTTTCATAACTTTTTAATATGATGCATTAGAAATGTTATAAAACATGTTAATTAAGTTATAATCTCTATGGCTTTCTATATATGAAGCAATAAACAGCTACTGGAATAGATAACTAGGCAAAGCAGAACAGAGTTAGTTTAATCAATCTGGGAAGCCTACACAACAAAATACATTAACATTTCTGGTTATGAAAACAAAAAAAACAAAACCTGCCTATCACTAAGGAGTTAGATGTGTTGCACCACCTCTGATTTCAGTAACCTCTGCAGGATTCTGGCACCAAACTACCAACTCTGTGGAGCAGAATTGTCTCAACTTTCATTGCCTTCATTGCTTTTGAGTTATTACTGTTGCTTGCTTTTTGTATTGCAGTTAAGTTCACAAAGTGTATTGTGCAAACATGCAAGAAGATGGCTCTCACCCTGAGTAATCTACTAATAAGAGTGAAATACGCCCAGAGACAGGGTGTCTGATAAAGATGCAGACGTTAATGTATGTTGAACAGCTTTAAAAAATAAAATAAATCAATTAATGTCTTCTCCTATTGGTTACTGCTTCTCTTCCTAACCATTATCATTCATTTACTGTCTTGAAGGTGTGATGGTAGGAGTGACTCACAAGGAACTGTAGATAACAACAGTTCTAGTGAGACCATTCACCTGGGAAAAGATTCTAAATCTGTGGAGATACAGACAAATACAAGAGTTAGGCAGGCAAGACTGACACTGTTGAAGGGTGGATTTTTAACCTTGTTTCTGTACAGAAAGCCTATTAATGTAGTCACAGCATAACTGGAAGTTGGTCATGCCAAAGATTCAAACCTGGTGAAAAATCTTGTCTTTAATAAGATAGCCAGTGAGTCAATGAAAGCTTCTGTTGTCTTGCAACAAATATACACAGTGCTTACTCGGTGCTGTCTCTTGAGCAGTTAGCCTAACACAGGGCTATATTATTTTCTAAAAATATCCTAATGGCTCTTTCCTTTTTTTTTCTCCCCAGAATGTTTGTATGATAGAATAGCACAAGAAACTGTGGATGAAACTGAAATTGCACAGAGACTCTCCAAAGTCAACAAGTACATCTGTGAAAAAATAATGGATATCAATAAATCATGTAAAAATGAAGAAAGGAGGGAAAGTGCAAAGTACAATTTGCAATAAATTTTGGATTTTTAATAAAGTCTTAGTGTTTTACTTAAGCGTTGGTTTTTTGATTTGTGTGGCAGTTTTGCTGATGGGAGAGGCTGACTTGAAGCGTTACTCCTTCTATAACTGATCCATTTTTTGAGCGGTTCTGTCAAAAGCCTTTCTATGGTGTAATCTGCTTTTAAACAATGTAAGATATATTGTAAGTCCACTCACAATGAAAGAGTGAATTTTCAAAGGTTTTTCCAATGAGTTGCAATATGTTACTTGCAGTTATGTATATAAGTTGTAATTCTGCGAACACCAACCCATTTTGCCTACATTTTGTTTTACTGGAATTAGTGGATCTAGGCTGCAGTAAACATCTGCTTAGAAGGAAGAACTGTACAAAGTCCACTTTGCTATTGAAAAGGATTTCATTGTATTTTACAAAGTGTTTTTCTGAACTGAAATTTTAATCGTTTGTTTTTATAAATCTTTGTTTTGATTTCTAACAATATATTTGGTCAAAAAGACACAAAGAATGCTTCTTTTTCACTTATTATCTTGTGGTTAGATCACCATTGCCATCATAGTTTAAAAAAACAATCAACAAAGGACTCAAAGCTTAAGTTGTAAAATCATGACAATTTATTAAAAAAAAAATAAATCTAAAAGCAGTTCTTTTTCAAGCACCAAGGCACTTTTCAGATTTCTGGTTAGGGTACAAAGCTCTTCAGTATGTCTGTATTACTGTTCTTGAAACACTATGTTTTTAGTGTATTTGTATTTTCAATCAATTTAAAGATTGCCACACTCTGGCAAGATTATGTATAGTAGAAAATTTAGCACCATTTCCTCTGAGTCCATAACTTAACAATGGACACTCTTATCCCAAATTAAAATAATTTCTACATTGAAGTTAGATTTGTGATATAAAGTTACAAGAAATAATTTGTTGTGGTTCTGAATTGTACCTGATTGTGAACAAAAATAGCCTTAAGTCTTGTCTTCTGAAGGATTTTGAGAATAAGCTTTGCAGAGATAACTTAAGGCCTGGAGTTGTTTTTGGGGTTTTTTTGAGGATTTGCTGTATTAGTGATCTTAGTTAACCTTCTGTTTATTTTATGCACACAGATGTGATTATCTACCTTTCAGGCTGTCTGTGCTGGGTATCAGCATTTGTTTCTTTTCTACCGCTGAAGTTCTGCTTCCTGTAGTTTTGAGAGACTTACCATTTCTTATCATCCTCTTGTAGCACCGGTGTACCCCAATGTTAAACCTGTTTCAGCGTCCTGTATGTGTAGATAATTTGAGTGGAGCGATGCAAGGATTCTTTGAAGGGCTGTGGTGGATGGAAGAAAGGAGAAGGGAGGTGGGGGGTGTGCTAGAACTGCAGCGCCTGTTTTGGAAGAGATGGAGAAAAACACCATGTTGTTTCTTCCTCTGCACAACATGTACTTAAATGATATGTTAATTCAGGGCATAAATATTTGTTTCATGCTTTCTAAAGTGCAATGTCATGATTGTCTTGTGTCAATCTAGGTATGCCATGCTGCCACACAGGTACCCCCCACTTTCACTGCTTGTGTCTCCACATTCCCATCCCTTACCGTAAACTGGCACTTGTGATCACACAGACATGTCAGATCTCACTGATTTCCAAGGTTCATTTTGTAAGGGCTGGTGCCAGTAGGATGGAGCCAGGGAGCAGTCATGGTGAGAGATGGAAAGAGGAGGAGTGTCTTTACAGTGGCTTATGTGTATTCTGAAATTGCATTTAACAGCCTAGCTTGTCTCCTGTTAATCTCAAAGTGTTCTTAGGTAGTGCTTAATGAAGTGCATAAATGTTTATGCTTCCTAATTTGGGATGCTTAATAGCAAATTAGTGTTTATAATGTCAGTGCATGTATCCTTTTATTAATTAAAGAAGAAAATAGAGATAACATTGAAGAAACACTTAAACAGCAAATTCCCACTTTTCAAGCAGACTTGTGAATGTACCAATTTTTCTAAGTGATCCTAGGACAATTCACTAGTTTGAGGGAGAAAGTGCATAATTTCCTTATTTTTTTATGACTTCAGTACTGGTGTGTTTTCATTGTAACAGATTCTTTAATGAGAAGATCATGCTGCACTTCTTAGAAGATAAGCCTATTTGAGACAGCATTTTGTGAAACCTGGGAAAAGCTAGTTAGAATTTAATTAGAGTTAGGACTCCAGCCTGGCCCCCAAAATGAGAGCTTCTAAGTCTTTCTGCAAAACCAGCATCATCTTTCTAAGTTTTTTTTTCTTGACAGACTGGTCCTATCAGATGTTAATGCTGCATATTGCTGAAGAATTGTGATTTTCTCTTTGTAAAGGTATCTTGGAAATCTTCA